AAGTGTAGGCTCCAAACAGGTGTGATAGTGGAGTGCGCGCGTAAGAGGAGAGTGTGTGAAAGAAGAGAGGATAGGACAAAGAAGAGGAAGATAAGATCGCGCGTGGTCCTTGACTAGAGTACTGCTCGGGTACTCTCCGCGGAGAAACGGAGATCCGAGAAACTACGGAAAAACCTCCGATGAGAGTAGCCGCCCGCTAGAATTCTCCTCCAGTCAGGCTGAACGTAGGCTGAACTGGACATTGCGGTCTAGCTAGTGTCGAAAATCCCGCTACCGACGCGTCCTCCAGAGGCATTGAAGTGACAGTAGTTGCCCGAAGACTAAAACATATGTACCTTTATCTTATTACAGGACAAAACCAAGTCACTGACCATGTGGACAAGTCAGTGAAAAATAAATGTAATGATAAATAAAAAAAATAATGGTGTGAATGCGATGATTGCGAATTTTCGTAGTAAAATTAATTGCATTTCATTGTAAAGTCACAATTCTAACACAACCAATGAAATGTCTCTTGAATTATTTGACTTGTCTACTGCCTTCTTCCCCGCCACAAACTCTGACATTCATTTAATTTACTATGTAAGAAGTTTGAAAATTGTTTATTAGGCTTGACAACAAGTTGTTTTCAATTAAAATGAACATTCAAAATTGCTATGTAACAATCAAATTTCACATTTAATTTTTAAAAAAATGACATACAAAGGTAAGTCCATATGTATGTATCTGCACGTGCATTCCAATCGTCTACAGGTTGGTTGTAAAGCTTTGTGCACTTACCAGCTTTAATGTCATCGTTCATTTTACATAAGGTAAGTTTTTCAGCGTTATCACATAATGCTTGCTTGTGTTGTTTTAGCGTAAACTAGAATGCACCTGTCTCTATTTGCACCAAAAAAGAACAGGCTTTCGTAATCCATTTTTTTGTGATGTGAACGTCAACTAAAAGTTGAAATCCATAGAAAACTTTCAACCCAATGTGGGTGGAATGTTTTCACTTGGAGAAGAGTTTACCATGGGGTTGAACCATTGGAAAGCAGTCAAACACGCATACAGGTTGAGAAAAAGAACAAAATGTCCAACCTCCTCCACTATTGATCCTAAAATTGAGCAAGACCGTGCCCTGATTTTGAATAACCGACTAGTGACTTTTGATGAACTGGCAAAACATTTACACGTCAGTCTGCATATGAGAATGCCAAAATGGATTGTCGAGAGATTTCAACGATGATAAAACCTGTGCCATTCATTTAAGCGTACGCTATTCGAGAAAAAATTACGAATAAAATTTGGAACAATTTTTGAGAACATTTCGAAAATGTAATTGAGGCTTCGTATAAAGTATCCCAAAAAATCCAAATTATCCACTTCAAACTCGCAGAGTCTTGAGTTCATTCAGATCAATTGGGGAATTTTGGAGAAAATTGTCTGAGCGTTGACCACAGACTGACAGACGGTCATTTGCTGTCAACCAATTTTTGGATATCGAAGACCGTCCAAACATGGAATCTGACTACGTCACGTGTTAAAGTAAATAATTTACTACACACACACACACACACA